TTTTTGATTTTTTGGAGTATGACACTCTTACAGCAAATGTGCTATACGTAGTTTTAGTTGAAGCATGAACAATGTTGTAAGAACAAAATAACAAATAAAAAAATTGCTTGAAAGACAGTGTAAATATTAAAAAACACCTCTTATCCAGTTCCGGTGTAATTTAGCGACTACATTTAATGCAGCGAAACGGCAATAAGTTTTAGAGATAGATAACTACAAGTCGTTTGTATAGTATGGAAAGGGCGGAATTTACATCGTCGCTGAAATACAAAAAGCCGCAACTAACTAAAAATCCAAAATTCACTTTTTGATTAATTATGATGCTTTTCATGGAATTATAAGTGCCCACATCGTTTTATGCATTAAAAAAATTTTAGTTAGTTGTGACTTCTGCATTTCAGCGACCATGTGGGATACGTCCTTTCCATACTATAGTAACTAAGTAAATTTTTATTTTATTTTTTTCATATTTCATTTAATCATCGTCTCGGCCTAAAGCCCACCTTGTATACATACAATCATTACCATTTCAATGTAAAAAAAAACAGATTATCTAAGCCTGTACTTATTATCACAATTTTTTCCTCTTTGCAGCTATCGATGGGCCATAGTTTTATGCCTTCCCACCTTCAATTCGAATTTTTGGCTCGTGCTGGAATGCTACATCATCGTATCCCCGAACTGGCAGCCTACCCACATCACGCTATTTTAGGTAAAACACGCCGTCCGCGCACTGCATTCACATCGCAACAGCTGCTCGAGCTCGAAAAGCAATTCAAGCAAAACAAATATTTATCCCGCCCAAAACGTTTCGAAGTGGCAAGTGGACTGATGCTTTCCGAAACGCAGGTGAAAATTTGGTTCCAGAATAGGCGCATGAAGTGGAAACGCTCGAAGAAGGCGCAACAGGAGGCGAAGGAACGAGCTAAACAGCAACATCAACAGCAGCAGCAACAACAGAGTGCAAACAACAGCAGTTAGTAGCTGACCGATGCGGTAGTTCTTCGAAATGAGGTGCAGGAGCAGCCTAATTATCCCAAATATCCATCCAAAGGATAAATCACCAACACTGCCCATTGCACCAACAACAACCCCATCAGCTATGGTGCTCGTAATTACAATTCTAGTCAAATATAGGCGTCGGATAGCGAATGTGGAGCATAGCAACGTGTCCGGCAGATTTGCTGTCTCCTTGTGGGATGTTGGTGAGCGAGTATTGAAGGGTAGTAGCTGAGGGAGCTCTTGTTTGTACGGCTGCTTCTGGCGCCCATTGTACTTATGGTACGTGCATTGGCACTTGGCGATGCCTTTTGTTTGCTTTGTAATTATGTAGTTCAATTGCGTTAAGATGCGTCCATGTGAAAATTAGAAACGAAACTAAACTACATATATACATATGGAAGGAGTTTTTGTTTATGTTCACAGTTAAAGTAAGTGGCGAAGAAGTTTCTCAAACAAAGTGCGTTTGGTATTCAATATATTTGTTTCTATGAATTGCTTAGTGAACTCTTTGTTTGCTTTCATTAGCAGAAAATTTCATAGTGTGATACGACAAATTATAGTATTTATTGAAATTAATTATGTATATTATGTAAATGTAAATAAGAGTACGTGTGTATATTATATTGTATTGTAATTGTGTAAATGTAGAAAATTTTACTAAAAAATTTAAATACATTACAAAGTGATTTCAAAGAATGTCTGATTTGTGTTTATTTGATTTAGCAGGTGTTGATCGTTTTCGATTCGACAATCGGTTGGAACAGCTGTTGTTAATTGTTTAATTAGAATAATCAAACTGAAAGTTGCCAGTGTCAGTGACTTTTGGATGTTCTGAGACAAGAACATTATTGCACGTTGTTTAGCCCTCTATTGCCTGAGTTATGAAGGAGATGAATAAAAAAAATTTAACTGTGAAAACACGTTATTTACATAACAATAAATCAATAAGGGCATTCATCAAACCTTATAAATGCATTGTAAACCGTATAAATTTATAATTGTGTAAATTGTGTATGGAAACTCGTTTACACATTTCTGATAAATTTATCCAGCGATTTCACTGAATAAACTTGATAAACTGAAGACAATGCAACTCTGTCGCAACTCTAGCTATGTTTTCTTAGGCAATAATCGGGATCCGCATACAAATTTTGCACGCAAATTCAATTATTTTTTTTTCTTTTTTAATCAGTTCCACTAAATATGCTGTATGTGGTCCAATAAGTCTATATTTTCATTTTTTTAAATAAATAGAGTGCATATGAATGCATGAAAAAATTAGAAACATACTTTATTACTGCTTCGTCTTTAAAAGAAAAAATTGTATTCAATATTCCTTCGTTCGTTACTTTCATATCTCTGACGATGTTAAGTAAAGCTAAACCATTTAATCTTTGTTCCCCAGTTTTACTTCGTAAATATGATTTAAGCTTAAGGAGGAGCATTCGCAGGAAGCAACTGTCACAAGAAGTGTTGCGCCTATCTGCAATATGATGCAATTGAACCCCCAAAACCCCTACCTGCGTTCGCTAGGGATGCAAAGGATGCATCAATGTTTTCAAAACATCGATGTTTCGTCTAAAAATATCGATGTTAACATGGATGTTGTGCTGGACAATACATGACGATATATGTACATACATACACTGACGATCAAACGTGAGAGCATGCTGACAAATTTTCATCTACATTTTAAACTTTTTAGTCTGAATATTTAAAAAAATTCTGGGTATGTAATTCTAATAAAACAGGTGCAAGTTTTAAGCGGCTAAAAATCGCTTAGATTTTTAATGATTTTTCTCTGGCGGCTTTTGTGTTTTTTTTNAAACTACGTTCCATTGTTCTTGCAGCAAATTCGGAGAGAGCGAGCTCACAGCAAACTAGTTTTGTTGGGTTAAACTGCTGTAAAAGTAGTGTTGCCATACGCAAAAATTTTAGGTATTTGCTATTATACACAAAAACTGCAGTGATACCGAAAAACAGTGAAATGAATTTATGCTGTAGGAGCTTCAAAACTTAGGTCACGGTTGATTTCTTATATAATATCATACAAAATATTAATTTCATGTTGGCAATAGCCAAGAAAACCACAATAAGCGTGCAACTCTGTGCCAAACTCGACATAACCACCTCCGAGCAAATTACGCACCCGCCATTTAATTTGCCAAACAAAAGTTTGTCTGCATAACACCGACCTTTTTAAATATAATGAGATATAAAATATGAAAATATATAAAAAGTGCTGGTTTTACTTTCTTAAACACTAAATATTTTTATGAGGAGGTTCTTGGGAGATTCGCAGCTTCTTTGATGTTTGTTTCCTTCACGATTATAAATTAAAGGAAAATTATAAGGCGTCTAAAAATCAAGTTTCTGTGAAAAATAAGACATGTAGTAAGTATATTTTCATTTCATTAAGTAGTGCGTCTGTTCCTGGCTTGGGCTTACTTATGGGCCAGATTGGTTAATATACTATTTTTTTTCAAGAGTGGCCACCTGTTAAAAAAGTTTAATTTATTTAATATGCGGGAACGACTGAACTGATTTGTATAAAAGTTTGCACACGGATAGCTTATGACCCAGATTGGAAAATGGGCTACTTTTTTAAGAATTGCCACCTGTTTGAAAATGAAATTTTGCTCACAGATGGTTTATGACCTGGATTGAAATTCAATGATTCATTAGTCGTAATCGCAGCCAGCGATTAGCGATTAACAAATGTAATCATTAATCGTACAGTTGATTACGACTAATTAATTTTAATCGCCAAACGCGATAAACATTTTAATCGTTAATTTTTAATCGTTAATCAGATTAACATTTTGCCAACACTGTGTGAAATCATATTCACACTCACGGAGAAAGATGGACGTTTTTGGTGAGGAGGCATAGCACCTCCCATACTGACTAAAAGTTTCATATTGCATATCTCTTCAAATATTTGGGGTAAAGTACTCAAGCTTGGTATGGAAATACATATGTACGTATGTATGTATGTGAAACTAATACCATTCTCATGGAGGAAAACGATAGTTATTATAAAAGGTGGTGTGGCAACTCCCATGCAAATTGATTTTTCACCGAGATGTGCATACAAAATTAATTCCATACTCATGGAGAAAAATTTGCCTTATTCGAAAAGGGGGCATGGTACCTCCCGTACAAATTTACTTTTTTATACTGCATATCTCTAGAGGTGTTCAGGGTAGAGTACTGGAACTTGGTACTGGGGTATGTAAAATCAATTCTAAACTCATGGAAGAAGATTAGGGTTATAAGAAAAAGGGGCGTGGCACTTCCTGTACAAATTGACTTTTTCTTGCCACATATCCCTGGAAGTGTTTGTGGACGAATACTGAAACTTGGTATGGAGTTGTGTATACAAAATGTATCAATTGCTCATGGAAAAAATGTGAGTTATTAAAAAAGGAGGCATGTCGCCTCCCGTACATACTAAAAATTTCTTAATATATATATCTGGAAGGATAGAAACTCTGGAAGTATTTTAAATTTGTTATGGAGATTTATTTTAAAAGTGCCGTACTGACAGAAAAAGGTTTATTAAATGGAAAAGGGAGAGCCGGGTTCGGCCTTATAATCTAAAGCTCTCATGATGGATACATACCTCTTGAGTCATTGGTACAGTAATGAGAAGTGGTATTTTATCAAGGCCAGGTTACTAAATTTGAGTTGGAAATATTAGAACTCGCCGTGGCACCTCCAAGAAGGTTACACGTTCACGCGTCGTATCCCTGGAACCATTTTAAGGTAAACTTAGAGGGATTGATATCTTTTGTATGCCTAGCGCGCAGACGAGATCTTATTATTTCACAGTTTAAACGGCCTAAATACCTTAACTCGCTTAAAAAATAACGAGCTGCATATAACGAAATGGGCACAGAAATAATATATAACATCATTAAATTATTTTTCATAGTTGTATAAAAACGTGGGGTGAAACCCGCGGGTATAAGCTAGTAGATAACTAAACGCAGGTGATGTTAAAAACATTGTATGCTTAAAAGCATATATCCACAGCTTTAATATTTAATTTTGTATTGTATTTTTATCCAGCAAATCCCTTTTTTTGGTTACTTTGCATATGCGGTGCATCAGTGGTCGTAGAAACTGCCGCCGATAGCCACTTAAAATATTTTTCGATTTGATGAACATTGTTGCAATCGAAACTCTCATAATCAACCAAATGAATGTCAATACTGAAGAAAATTTCACGGATAACTTTCTACAAGAATAGTCCCTCGATTTTTTGAAACCCGCTTTCAATCGCTGTACATCCATTGAAACACTTCTCTAACAACTAAAATTTGGAATAGGGAAGCTCTTAGAAGCATCTCAAGAGGTACAGCACGATGTAATACCAAATTTTAGTTGGTCGGTTCACCTATTGTACCAGAGCTCTAAGTCCATCCACAAAAAGTGGTGCAAGACTTTTAACAAATGGATTTGTCCTGATCACCAGCCTGCGGTGGGCACTCAATGTTACACAAACTGATAGTTTTTTGACTAATATTGTTTTAAAAAGAAAATTTAAGACATTAATCTAAGAAGTAAAACCAGTCCTATTTTTTCAGTTACATAACTAAATTATTTATTATTTCAAATTCCTAGCTGCTATGAAAAAATTTTAAGTTTGTGATCGTAAACGTAATAGATTTAACTACATTTTTTAACTATAAGTTTCTGACAAAAAATTTTTTTATGGTACGTATGTATGTATGGAAAAAAATTTCGAACGTACTTTGTATGGAAGAAAATGTGTGACACTGAAAAAAAACATGTCAAAAATCAAGGGATTTTTTCACCAACTTGAAACTTGCTTATTATTGTACTAAAATTTAATGGGATACAAAATAGAATGCCGATTTTTTTTGTAAGAATTCTAGATACAAGTTTGAAACTTTGGTGGAACTTTGCAGAATTTGTATAATTTTTTGCAAAATGCTTGAAATTTGTATTTCTATAGAGTGAAAATCTCTCAAGCGGGCCACCCTAAATTGGATGGTCAAGATTTTTTCGAACAAATCACTTTTTTCGGTTTACAACCACAAAAAAATATAGTTTGAACAATTTTGCAAAATTCGAATTTTTACAAAAGTTGTTGTTTTTAACTTTTTTTTTTGATGAATTCAGTAGTTATTTATTATCTACTGATTCATAGC